ATCCTTAGTACGTAATATAGGGTGTTTAAGTTGGCATACTAATATTTACTCAATTTCACACATGTTGAGATATCATACAAATTTATGTGACTAAATTTACCTATTTCTGCCTTCTGTATTTGTATTTGCCTATAACAATGAAATATGTGAACAATTCTAAACACATTCAGCTCACAAAATAATGCTAGACTATTCGGCATTTCTTGTCAGGATGTCATAAACATCCCTTATATAAATTTCTTAAATGTGTGACGGAGTTTACATGGTGCTACCATTTAAGGAAAAAAGTCGCTAAATATGTAGATAATAGTCATATACAGCTATTCTATGAATTGGAAATTCGAAAATTTGGTCAAACACGGCAACAAGGGGTCCATATAAACTCCGTCACGTTTTTATAGTGTGACAAAGTTTACAACTCACTGCCGGCCGTATTTAAGCGATATCTTATCGTCTGATAAAGATATCGTTATGCGACAAAGTTTATCTAGAGGATGAAACGATTATCCTAACCATAGAGGGTTTATATAGTTTCATAGTGTGACACATTTTACATCATCGTGCCATTCAGTAGGGTCACTAATATTTACCAATATCCTCAAACTTCAATGAACGTGTCCATATAACATTCTATTATATAACAATTATATAACAATTTTAAGAATGCTCTGAATCCCAAAAGCTTTTGGAAGATCCGTATTGACAGTGTTATGAGCTAAATAGGAACAATTGGCTGAATTATCATAATTTTTGTCAGATTTAATTGTAGTTTCAGCTGTCACGTGTGCTCCTCAGCCTCCATATTAGTACTAAATAGGAATCTCAAGTATTGTAAAGAATCTTTTACTAACTACTAACAGTGTCATGATCTAATTTGCTCCATGTGCATCCTTCACAGCATCTTTTGTTACCTGAGGACCCCAGGCTATTATGTTCATTAACATAATATATTAAGATATTGGCGGAATGACAGGCTGAGCGCGGCCCAGTAACATCTTTTGTAGTTGGAGGACTTCGCCGCTTCGACGCGCCGCGCAAACTAGCATTTTTGCTTCGCATCGTTGCTCTGCTTCACCGAGCAACGATCTGGAAGGGTTGACATCGTCAATGAACTTTTGTAGTCTCTTATATTATAAATATGTATCCATAAATCGCCAGGTATAAAATTGCTCTAACTAGAGCCCTCTCGCTTGCAGTAGCGCGCGAAACAAGCGTGTCACGCAGTACGCGTATACACATCACACATGGCTATGTGAAGGTATAAAATGAAACTTTATTTATTTGATTACTATGCGCTTGGTTGTAGCGCGATGCGTTACTGTGCCGCGCCGCGCACTCAATGAGGCTTCTCTCCCCAGGAAAAGTTACCGGCTGGTGGTGGTACTAGAGTTGGTTTAATTTAAACAGACGGCTCGGCCTCGCGCGCGACAACAAGCATGATTTGCACGCGTGGCGTATTCCAATGTTCAAGCAGCTACCACGTGACACAATTCAGCCAACCAGAGTACAGGAATTGAATCCGCAAAGTTAAAGTTGCAAACTTTTGATCGGCCCGAAGGGGACTTTTCTGGAGATTTTGAGATAACTCAACAATTACGTTGTCTTGAATTTTCCTCCTGGAGCTGAGAGGTAACGTTACTTTTAAAAGAGGAACATGTTACAAAAAACTGGAAGTCTCCAACTCTTTTACTTTCAAAGTTAAGCCCCATCCGGTCAGGGTTCCTGGGTGCAGCTGGCTGACGCCGAGTAGGGTGTTTTGGCCGTTCTAACTTAAGACTTTTAAGAATTAAAGCAGCCGTATTGATCTTCCAAACCTACAACTTTCAAGGGTTAGAATTCGCTGTATTTTGCCGTTAAAACACAATTTGTACTGTTTCACTTCATGATTGGGCCGTAATTCAAAAGCAAATTGGCAAGAAGTGATGCTCACGGTCTCACTTAACGTCACTTATCGCTCAGTTAAGAGCGACCATGGTCTTAAGCGACAGACAGCCTGCAGGCATATGATCCGAATACGAAATATCCTTGTGTTCGGCATTTAGTAGCCCTAATTGGTTACTTCGTACCCAGGAAAAGTTACCGGCTGGTGGTGGTACTAGAGTTGGTTTAATTTAAACAGACGGCTCGACCTCGCGCGCGACAACAAGCATGATTTGCACGCGTGGCGTATTCCAATGTTCAAGCAGCTACCACGTGCAACACAATTCAGCCAACCAGAGTACAGGAATCCGCAAAGTTAAAGTTGCAAACTTTTGATCGGCCCGAAAGGGGACTTTTCTGGAGATTTTGAGATAACTCAACAATTACGTTGTCTTGAATTTTCCTCCTGGAGAGGTAACGTTACTTTTAAAAGAGGAACATGTTACAAAAAACCGGAAGTCTCCAACTCTTTTACTTTCAAAGTTAAGCCCCATCCGGTCAGGGTTCCTGGGTCTAGATCGGCGAGATGCGCTACTGTGCCGCGCCGAGCTGAGATGAATTGACATCGTCAATTAATGCGCTGGGCTGATTAATGTTAACTTTTAGTCTGTCCCTGTTGCGCACTATTTTTATAACTATAAATATATATAACTATAAACTACAACTGGTTTTCTTCTCTTATAGAAAAAGGGCTCTACTAGCTGTAGCTAGGAGCATGAAATATCGGTACAAAGCTTACCTGAGGACCCCAGGCTATTATGTTCATTAACATAATAATGAATAAATGAATAAATAAAGATTTGGCGGAATGACAGGCTGAGCGCGGCCCAGTAATACAAAGCAAACTATGCAATTGTCAAACTATAAGTTTCATGTTTGAAAAGCAATCCTCAGTGACATAATTAACATAAAAATGGCAAACATAATACAACACAGTGCTCCTTTATCAAATTTTATAATTAACAATTAACAATTACTCAATACTACTAAACCTATATAAATAACTACAAATCCTAATAACTAATAAATACTAACTAAATATGTCTAACTAAGAATTTCCTAGAGTGCCTACATTTAGAAATAATTTCTGATCTTTTATTAATACCGTGTCACACGGTGGTACAATCATCGTCAAAGTTTTAAGAATTCTAAGCACAGACTGAGTACCGAGTTATCAAAATTGATATGGGACCTCAAGGAGAAGATGATTGAATATAGCATAGACTGGAAGATTATTACTAAATCGAAGAAATATAAGGCTGGAGCGGGGCATTGTGGCCTCTGCTTAGACGAGAAACTATACATACTTAAAACCCCAGGCATTATTAATAAAAGATCAGAAATTATTTCTAAATGTAGGCACTCTAGGAAATTCTTAGTTAGACATATTTAGTTAGTATTTATTAGTTATTAGGATTTGTAGTTATTTATATAGGTTTAGTAGTATTGAGTAATTGTTAATTGTTAATTATAAAATTTGATAAAGGAGCACTGTGTTGTATTATGTTTGCCATTTTTATGTTAATTATGTCACTGAGGATTGCTTTTCAAACATGAAACTTATAGTTTGACAATTGCATAGTTTGCTTTGTACCGATAACTATAAACTATAATAAGCTTATCTCTACTATAATTCAGAGAATTATTTTTGTTGTATGTATGTACGACCGCCCACGTACAAATTAGATGAAAAATAGGAATTTAGGTAACAACCAAAAGGTTCCATAGCAACGGTGTTTTAATGCACACATGCATGATGCACGTGCAAAGATTGTTTTAACGTCATTTTGATCGGTTTTGTGGTAATCACGTTCTTTCAAAGAATACTACTAGCTTCGTCCCTGTTACCACGGGCTTTCTTTTGCTCTATCCGATCCAGAGCCCTTGCGCTTGCAGTAGCGCGTGCCCGCCTCACGGTGAAACAAGCGCGCCCGGGCGCCCGCAGTGGCGCGAAAGCACATGGTTAGGTGAAGGCTTTCTTCGTCCCTGTTACCACGGGCTTAAAAAGATCATGCATGGGACAATTTTGAAAAACTTAACTGAGGTACTAGCAAAACTGTGCGTTTTGCTTTAGAAATTGCTTTATCTTGACGGATGTAACTCTTCTAAATTTCTTCGAAGTAGCGCGCGCCGGGCCAGACCATTAACAATGGTCAATATTTAATAGCATTAAAAAACTTTGTAAAATGGGGAATGGGGATGACCATATTAAAGTATATTTAGTACTTAGGGTGATACTAGTACTAGTAGAATATTTGTTTCAAATATTCAAGCATCAAGACCGTCGACGAATCCAATTACTAATTACATGTTATTTGGCACGCCAATCAAGCTGTTGTGTGCGGCGCTCTTTTGATCGCGAGCCTCTTTTGCTACACGTTGTAATGAGCAGGCCTCTCTCGTGCACTTAACGGGTGATGTTCGTAAAATATTTTCGGCGTGCATTCCGGTTTATTACAAATGACCCAGCTCTGGCAAGGGCGTTCGATGTCTTACTGGGCGGCGCTCCGCCTGTCATTCCGCCTAATATAAGGCCGCGCACGTTATATCTCCGCCAAAAGCACATCCAATTTGATATGTATGAAATATGTCTATAAATTCCTTGATTATGCACTAAGTTGGAGTTCTCCGACCAAAATTGAACGGGGAATCGTTTAAGATCACTTTCGAGGCACCTCGACAAAGCTTCTCACGCTATTTTGCTTTTTATGGAGAAATACGTCTATAGCGTTTTTGAGTTTGTTATTCTCTTTCAAAAGTATTCCAAGTGATTTGTATACGTGCATATATTAACTCTGAATTGTGAATACATTGCAAAATAATTTATGTCGATTCATGAAGTTTGAAAGAAGTTACAGCAATGCGCGCAATTTGGGGAGTGTGCTTTTGGCGGAGATATAAACTGCGCCTTCCGCCTAATCTCTATTAGTGTTTGTGAACATGGTAGCCTGAGGTCCCCAGGTACGTAACCGATGTCAAGTTAGAGGCTAGTGAGTTAAGAAAATTTGTGAAAGATCCATTCTTTGGCCTGGAGAACCATACCTACTATGGATTATTAGAAGGACTATTAATAAACATATTTTCTGTAATTTGTGGATCACCTGGTGTAATATTGTGTAAACATTTCACATTAAATACTGTAATACGTAGTGCAAGTTGAGTGCACTTAATGAACCTTTCAACTTCCATATTTGTTACAAATCGCAAATGTCCTTTAAAAAATATACATATTAAATATAACATAATTTATACTTATAGAATAATTGATTTATATTGTTCAAGATTGCAGAGGGGTGAGCTAAAGCCAGGATTGATTTATTCTGAAATGAAATATAATCATAAAACAGTCAAATGTTGAAGAGCGAGTGCTCATCATCCCCCGAAATTCCGACGTTTATCACTTAATAAATAAATACATCTCGTGGACAAGTATTAAAATAAATAACAGCCATCTGAAAATTTTGTGAAAATTATTTTAATTCAAATATCATTTTCACGTAAATATATATTTATCATTATTTTATATTTTATATAAATCAAATAATTTAATATAACATTCAGTATGTCATAATATGATAATCTGTGGCGTCATCAGCAATCAGTCGCGGCACAAAGTGGCCCATTCAATAACTTAGTTCTCAAGCCACCAGTCTCAATCTATAATATCTAAACAAGTTAATGTTTTCGGGAATAAAAATTCTCTGTGATCACCAAAGAGTATGATAATAATAAACTCAACGGTTCAAACTTTCATAACTCAGAGAGTATTAATGAAGAGGAAAGATATCTTGCTTTTACACGATTCACACAGATGATCTGTGTGACAGATCTGCCATGATAATACATCTTATACTTCTGTCAGACACGGGCACGATCACATATGTCAGTTGTAGGAATCTCGGCGTAACCAGGACGACGTGGTGCCGCGCGCAGTACGTTCTCTTGGTTACGAGGCTGATCAGGAGCAATACCACGTGTCAACATATCTTCCATCAGCACCTCCTCGTACGTGGGGATATCTTGATCCTGGGATTGGTTGGTTTAGTGAATACTGAGCAGTGATTGGTTGCTGTAGATAAAAAATTATGATAAATTATGAATAGGTGTAAAAATTAAAAAATACAAACCATAGCAGGAACGCAAGGCTTGAATCTCCTATCAAGGGCCCGGGGCAGCACTCCGTGATCCAGTCTGAAGAATAATTGACATATAACATTAAAGTTGAACTAAAACCCACAAAAAGAAAACGTCGTTTCACAAACTGAGCTAGAAGTAGAACCCACAAAAAGAAAACGTCGTTTCACAAACTGAGCTAGAAGTAGAACCCACAAAAAGAAAACGTCGTTTCACAAACTGAGCTAGAAGTAGAACCCCCAAAAATAAAATGTCGTACCTGACGTGAGGCTGGTTGTTGGTGTTTTCTCTGTAACGACGTGAACACTTGAAGAGGAGGACAACTATGATAATGAGGAGAACGAAGGATACACTGAGGACAACGTACAAAACCCAGCTTTGTATACCAGCTATCAGGGGGTAATTGTCAGGGGTAAATATCAGGGGTAATTATCTACTTGAACTCTGTGATTCACGCAAAAAAGCACTTTAGTAACCCCCTAAACAAAAGAAATTACCTGACGGTGCCTGAGGTGATCCGATAGCTTCAGTACGATCCGGATGAAATTGCAGGTGACTTTGAACGATGAACAATTCAGAAGCGCGTACTATGTCGTAATCAACTATGTAGTTGCGGATTTTAGATGCTATCTTAGAGCTCTCGTACCCAGCACCTTCTATTCCGTCTGAAAGTTTACTGAACTGAGTAGGGGCCGGGTGGGGGGGGGGGGGGGGGGGGGGGTAGAATAGGTACGCACACTATTTTCTTCAGAAAAGCTATCTTCTCAACATCCTCCCAATCTGATAAGTTTAAAGTAACAATAGCGACAAGCTGTCACGTCTCCACCTCAGCCCCCATTCCCCATATTAGTACTAAATATGAATCTATTGTATTAAGTACTAAGTATTGTAACGAATCTTTTGAACTTTTCTCCCATCTTTAAATGTTTTAAAAGCTTGGTGCTCCCCGCTCACGCCAAGCTTTTGTCCCCCTAAGTATTTAAATACTGAAAAATAAGTATATATTCAGACGACACCTCCAAAAGTCTATATTTCTTTCGTAGGGTGCCCTACTAACAGAGTCATGATCTGATTTGCTGCATGTGCATCCTTCACAGCATCTTTTGGAGTTTATATTATAAATATGGGGTCGTTTACATATTACGCAATCAATATTTCAGCAATTCCCCCCTCCCCCCTCCTTAATCAACCGTAACTAAGACCCAACCTCCCCCCCCCCCCCCCTTTGACTTTTTCTCTGGAAATCATATTTCTTTACGTTTCATGCTACCCTGATCATGATGAGCCGTAATCATTGTTATGATATCCGTCCAAGCACCTTTCAAACTACTTACTTTAGCAGCCGGTTGTAGTAGGGGGGTCAATGACATAGAATGGAGAATTCTATGCCGTTTTAAAATTAAAAAATTGTAAAAACCCAAGTTTTTACAAAATTTCGACCTAGTAAAGCAGGATGATGATTAATCAATCTACACTCAACTGTCACGACGTCACGTTACTTTTTAAACCTTCAACAATTTTCCAGCTCGAACACAAGGGTCCCCCTGCCCCTTGTATGTTGTATACATTTTGTAAAATTTGTAAAAAAATCTGTTTTTCAAATATTTTAAATTTGGTACTACGTTTTGCTTTTCCAAGCTGAAAAAAATACAGTAAAATATTTCCGAAATTCAAAAGTCTCCGAAATTCATAAGTTTTCATGTTTTCTATCTAGATTTCGGAGTCCCCACCTCACCCTCGATATACGATCTTGGAGTCGAGGCTCCCCTTTGTAATTCGATCTCGGAGGGCAGGTCTCCCCTATGCAATGCGAGTTTGGAAGCTGGGAGACTGCCTTTCAATGTACGCATCGAGAATGACTCTCACCCTGATCATTAATTAGTCAAACACATTTTTCAGGACCTAGCCCTCGAGAATTTTTCCTGAAAATTAATGATTGATATCCGTCCAACCACCTTCTAAACTACTTGCTATAGTCGGATATCCGATTAATCTCTAAATTTTATCACTATCACAGTGAAATTGAATTAAAATATTGTCAAATTGAATTTAATTGTTATTATTCTAGAGGGTAAAAAAGAAAATTTTGGTTACGTAATCAACGACCAAACCCCCCCCCCCCCCCCCCCCCCGTAATCAACCGTAAGCATTTGGAAACCCCCTCCCCCTTCGGCTGATTACGTAATATTTGAACGACCCCTATGTATCCATAAATTGCCAGGTATAAAGTGCAAGTGCGCGTTGCCATGTAGAATTGTTGTTCATGAGCATCTGAATCGGTAAATTGCTTTTTATTGCAACATAGTCTCCATTTATAACTATACTAGAAACAGAATTAGGATCACTAGTCACTACTAAACTTAGTAACCAAACTGTCAGTCTCTGCTTGATCAGATGGTTATTGATATTAATTTAATGTCATTTAATGTATAGTAATTTAATGTTTAATTTAATTTAAATTAAAGTTTTTTGTTTAAGATTTGATATTATTACAAATACCTGCAGTTCAGGAGGGAATGTTCTATATGGTAATTGTTGTGATGATTCTAATAAAGTATGGGCAATTAGAAGAGCCCCAAAACAGACATCCAAAGCACAATGAAGCTGGAGCCTCCAGATCCGGCAATTCTAAGAACCCGACAACAAATTCGGATCACTGTTACGAGTTCTACACGGCTGACGTATCTCGCAAATTATCGTTTGGTGAGGTGATCACAAATGTCTCTGCTGAAAGTGTGACTGCTTGCAAGATGTACTGTTGGTATCACAAAACCTGCTGCTCATTTACTTTTGACTCAACAACATCAAATTGCAGCATTTACGACCACTTTCCCCTTCATAATTCATCATCTCAAGGAAATCATTCATCTTTTGATGTTCAAGGAAACATTGAATGCTTGATGAATTTTGAGGAAAGTCCATCGGTGCCATGCAGGACAATCAAAAGCGCAACAACAACAAATAAGGATTCAAAGGGAGTTTTGATGAAGAACGTGAACAGTAGACTGTGCTTGGGGTTTGGGAAATTGATGGAGTTGAACTGGAAAGATTGCACATCAGCTATCCCATGGCTATTTGAGAAAAGAATAAATGAAAATGGGAATAAGACCAGATTTAAAATTTACCAAGCAAATTCTCTCAACAACTGTTTAGAAGCGGACGTAACACACCATTCCAGCAGCAAAGTGGCTTCTTTAGCTCTCTGCCAAGACGATAATGTGAATCAGCTCTTTGAAATCATCAGAGGATCAATATTCCAGTTATCTAGCGTGTTAGATCCCATTGATTCAGAAAACAACAACAATTGCTTCTTCTCAATAACAAGTCTGGATAGGTACGTCTACCCTGGGACCTCAAATATCCGCTTAAGCAACCTGAGACTTCTGTTCCCTGAGGAGCACCTTGCCTTGTGTCGAAGAAATAAGTTCAAGGTTGCTAATGGAAACGTTGAAGGTAGACTACCACTATACTTACCGGGCAGCAACATCTCAGTCAGATGCAAACCTGGGTACGGCTTCAAAGAGTTTGACTTCCAATCTACTTTGAATATCACGTGCCAAAATGAAAAGACACATGGTTTGAAGTGTGTGGAACCCGATGCACAGTCAGGAGAGGCGAGTCCGTTGAAAACGATATTGGTTTGTGGTAACGTCGGTCAAGCTGTGATTATCATGCTCTTGGTTGTCTTGGTTATTGTGTTGGCGAAAAAGATAAGTGTATTGAAGGCTGGTCACAGCTCTGATGTGGAAATGAAAAGACAAAATATGAACACTTAATAAAGTCCTTGCTGAACAATTAATCTATTATAGAAACGTTATAAATTTGCACCTGGAATATGGAATCTGGACATTTAGCCCCACAAACATTATACATACAAAAATTTAAAGAATGCTCTGAGCCCAGTGTTATTTGCTATATAGGCAATAGGGATCGTTCACATATTATGTAATCACTTTTTGAACAATTTGTAACCCCCTCCCCCCCTCCGTAATCACTTTTACACATAGCTATTGTGTCAAAATTACACTAGCGTTATCATTTTGAAACCCCCCCCCCCCTCGTCTGATTACGTAATATGTGAACGACCCCATAGCAACAATAGGCTGTATTATCGTAGTTTCTACGCGTTTTACTTCATTGTCAACAGACACGCTATTACGAAACAATACATATTAAATAGATCGATTTACGTCTGAATTGGTTTCATTTTGACATTTAAAAGTTGTAACGACTTCTTAAAAAACAGTTTATTATTTTAGTTGCGATTTTTGTTTTAAAATGTTGCAGTTAAGGCTACGTTTTTTATTGGATGAGTTTCATAGTTTCAAATAAATTCTCATACGAAGAAAATACTGAGAAAAGTATGACCACTGAAAGTAGTATATTATATTTATATCAACAATGGTTAACTCGGAATGTACCTGCGATAGAGTCCGAGACAGTGATCTGAATACTGAGAGTGCTGAGCTCGTACTCTTGTAGGGACACTGTTATTGAGATCTGGTCCTGTAGGAATCAGTGTTACAGGAGCAACCACTCAATCAGTCAACTAGTGAGACTGGTATTATTTAACAGTATATCTCATATCGATCATGTATGCAAAGGATCTATAATAATAACCCCAATAAATGTGTGGGTATGTGTGTATATGTGTACGTGTGTAATTTCCGAACGGCTTAATCAAGAAAACGGTAAGAGTTATGGAACTGGTTTTTTCGGTACAGTTTCGACAACAGTCTGACGAAGCCAATAAGCAAATTTTTAAAAATCAGCCTTTAGTAAGTGGTTAAATTAATGGTTTTGTACTCCAAATGTGATACTAAAGTGTCTCACTTTTTCTCCCTTTCTCACACTCTCTCACCATTTACAGGGGGTTACACAGTACACTAGTATTTTATAATGTCACCAAGTTGAGATCTAACTTACACTAGCTAGCTGATCGTCTTTGAGGAAATTTCCGAGACTCTTCTTGAACTTCTCGAGATAAAAGCCAGCAGGGGGCCTGAATCTCACCTCAGCTCCTGAATACGCAGTTAATTAATGAGCGACTGGTATCGGCCACCCACGACAATATTAACTTGAGTTTAAAGTTTTATCACACATCACGAACAGTATTGAAGATATAGAAGGCTTATTGCATCGTAATTGTCTTATTTAGCTTTGTCAGTTATTCCATGCGGTAGTCCAAAGAAAACAAAGCCATGCTATACCCATGCATGCGCGCGCATAGCGCGCATCAATCCTAGCGCCAAGTCCGATTTAACGATACAGGTGCAAGTTGCTAGTAATAAGCAAAATTGGGCCTTCAGAATGTGACGAAGGAACAATGAACATGGTCTTACCAGCTGCGAGTCTAATAACTCATTATCTATTTATTGAAATGACATTGCCTCCACACTCAAAATATTTAGATACATTGATGTTAAACTAGTTGACTAGTGATAGAAACGTGTGTATTGTTTTAACATTATCTTCTTTAATTAATTACACAAGGGTGAAAGTGTACCTGAAATGACTTCTTACCGCAATAGTGGCAGCACATCCCTTTTGATTTTATTGGCTTGACACAGTCTCGTCGCGGGCACTCCGACGAACAATCCAACTGAAATAAAGTTCGACATAACATCCCTCCAGAATTTAGTCATCAGCAAAGAAGCCCTGAGGCGGGGAACATGTCCTGTAATTTAGTGTAAAATGTAAGTCTGAGGCAATCAAGTTACACGCCAGCTCAGAATTAAATTACAACTTTTAACAAGGTACAACTCTATTATTATAGGGACTGTTATAACGGTTTATATATACAGCGTGTTATATCGGTTTAAAACCACTCTGGGTTTTAACAATAAATACACGACTGGGTACAAAAAAAAACCTTCGACAATTTCCCACAAACTCTGTCGCGAACAGTCTAATCTGCACAACAGGAGTCAGCTGAATACCGCCGAATCAGCTAAATGGGAGTTCACAGCTAAGAAATAGTGTGATGGATAGTGATACCAACCCTCACTGACTGGGAAGTGTGTGAACGACCGTTTAGCCTGAGGGCTATTGAATATTCTACTAAATAACTCTTAAAGATTTGCACGGTAATTGTACAATGTACAGTATATAATGTGTTAAATATACACTCGCCCCCCTTATGTACCGTGTACAACGTACACTATCGATTAGGGTACACTTGACTGGCGGCTAAAGTTTTGACCCCAACAATAGTGCATACAATAATGCAACTGATAAGGATTTAATGTACCTGATTACCACAGAGACATCCCTGATGATTGGTACAGACCGTCCGCCCCGTCACTATCAACTGGGCCAGGTTTATGAACTGCAGCTGTGACCTGCCCGACCCTAGAGCGTAGTCCCTGACATCTTCCGTATCGAGATCTTGTTCTCCTATCTTGAGTGATCCAACTTCAACACTCTTGTCTAGTAGCACGTTGAAGGCTATACTCTGTAGGGGGTGAGATCGTTCAAATTTTAATATTTTATGTTTAAGTTAAAGTTATTATCTCTATTTCTGATGGTGACGAACTGTCCAGTTCAAAGTTCACACGAGACAACTTTTACATATTAACGAGGGTTTCTTTTGGGGTAACACAGGTAATCACAAAGTTCAAGTTAAACTACCAATACCTTTTTATGTTGACGAATAATGTACAGTAAAAGTAAATAGTAGTAGTAAGTACCGGTGGTAATTTACTCAACATGGAAACATTTCCACCATATTTACATTTAGACCTTTACATTTAATTAACATTTTAAACTCCAAAATATTCACATGATATTTACATTTAAACCTAAGCAGTATATTCAGTATGATATTAACATGACATAGTATAAATGTGCGTGAGAAGTTTCTGAATAATGTGCTCGCTCAGTAAGCAGCACAAACATATGCTTGGCAGTCAGATGCTGTCGTGGTGAGCACTTTAAATGATCTTATTTAGATCCTTACGTAATGATCCACACGATCAGAATTAAAATGAGAATTAAGATCATGAGAATTAAGATGAGAATAAAGATCAGCAATGTTTGGAACATAATAACCTGGATCAGCTCAGATAAGAAGTAACGACAATAATGAAAAGTTGTCTTGCAATAATCCAAAGGAAATAGATCAATGAAGGGAACCTGCTAATAGATATTTTAAAGGCAATAAGTAGGGTGGTTTAAAAACGTCGACCTTTACAAATTTTGTGATATTTGGGATAAATGATGTCCAAAATACCCTTTGTCAAATTATATGCCAAATTGCCATAGATAACGCTATATATTTAAAATGCTTAACATCTAGGTAAAATGTCGTAGCTACCCCACATTATAAGAGTTCACATTACATATAGAGGGTGTGGCTGAGAATACCAGATAAGTTTAGAATGACAAAAATGACACACCAACACTCAACACGTTGTAACTTGTATATGGGTGAAATGACGTAGTATTAAACCATGCGTAACTAGAAATATGGGAAATATGTCACCTTACTACAATTACTGAAAAATTTGATACGTCTTAACAAGAATTTGCACTCGATAGATTCCCAGTTCCACAAGTGGGAAATTCCTGTGTATAAATAAATCTTGGGAAAGTTTACAAATTCACAGTTCGTATTTGAGAAACTGTCAAAACCTCCCTACACGTAACGCATGGTAACGATATGAAGTTCTAGTGATTCCACTTATGCGTACTTTGTGAAGTTCACCAAGGTCGGTATTATGAACTGAATTTAATTATACAGGTAGGACTAAATGTCACATTACGAAACGAGCGTTCTATTACTTTAAAACTTTAGAGTAGACTGGTAGAGTAGACTTTACAGTTTACACCCTAACCCTCCAGTGTAGAGTTAGGGTTAGAGTAAATGTAACTCATGTAAGGGACCCTAACTCTAACACTAACCTACTAATTCTACTCTAAAATCTATCCTAAAATCCACCCTTAGTGGTCGTGTTTCTTGCAAACCATGTCTGATCATGTAGCCTGATAAAGATAACGCTTCTAATTTACACAGAGGTGAATGTGTACAGGACAGGATATGTTTCAAGAGCATGTGTGAGCGTGTAGCATGTGTGTGAGCATGTGTGACATGTGTGATAAGTGTTTTTAATGGTCATAATTTCGTCAGATTGTGATTTGAGTCGTTCAAAATATCCGTAATAAAGCGACTTGTGTACACATTGCATTGTGATGATAACTCTGGATTCTACTAGTGGGACACTACGCTCCATATAATTAAGATGTAATTAGGTTACCTTGAGTTCCTAACTAACTTACACTCGCTACTCACCCTGCTCTGACCCTCAGGGCTCTGGACATCATTACACATAATACCCACACACCCACGAATATATATCATAATGACAGAGAAGGTTCATGATCAATAAAACAGAGCGAAGGTACGTGAGCTCAGAAGAGCGGAGCACGTTGTCAGGAAGTCACGTGATAGCTTGAGTACAGGACTAGAAGTCACGTGATACAATATGAAGATCGAGTACACCACTGTCCACTAGCATTATAGCACACACGTTCTCTTTCACTTCACAAGGAAGTGTGACACATACAGTACACATGCTAATTATAAGAGGTATTATTCGAGGGCGGGTAAATGTTATTGGATCCATCATTCACACCACACATATATCTAGAGGATTATCTTCATTGTTATTAATGTAATAAAGGAGGGTCACTGTGAGATGTTTGGGTACCAGCTGTGAAGAACACAGAGGGGTACACAGTGCAGACACATTGATCCAGTGTCCTGTATTCTGGGGTATTGTTCTTCAGACAATGTTATTAGGTCTCACATTTGATAAGACGTGGTTTGTGATTAATTCATTGCAGCAGCTGTAACAAGTAATCAGCTGTAAGTAATCTCGTGTTATCATCTCGCATGTTATTATCTCACACAACTTAATGGCCTCCCTTCTTCAGCGTCACATGTTAGCATGTTCCTTATAATTGTCTTATTACAGCGGCATTACATGCAGACTGCAGATCACCATATTGTATAATTCAAATTGTAGAGCACCATATTGTAGAGGACCATATTGGATGTAGTGAACAAACAGCGGAAATTCTAACAGTCATGATATAACATTTGCTGTACAGCTAGAGTTGGATTTAACTCTCATTAATCAATACAATATACTAAGTGTACCTTTAATAGTTGTACTTGGGTAAATATGACGAAAGTGAACTTGGGAAGTGTTAAAGACGGTGTTCATCAAACACTAGTCATGTAAAAGTAATTATCCAGATTACTACTCATTAGTGAGTCCTGCCTAATTATACATATCCAATGAAGCATATTATATGTGATGAATCTCACGTTGGAATATTTCAAATTAAAATGTGACGCATTCTTGAATACCCGGTCTACCCTAGCCTAACAGAATTCATTACAATTTAGATTGAGAACAATCTTGAGTGAACGAGGCCATAATGTGATATAATCGTCGAGTTGTACTAGAAACTCTGTCGAGTTGTACGAGTAACTCTGTCGGAACGATACACTCGTTTTATACATTAATCAAGGACTGCCAATCGTGTAAAATTACCGATAAGAAACGTAGTGGGGGGTCTCATCTCTAACATGATACAAACTTTAACTTATTGTCAGGACTCAGGATCTAACAGGAGATTAACTAGAAGATAAAGTGGTAAATAAATACATTTTCAGTAGGCGAATATTACTGATAAATAATACAGATTTTCGTATCTTTTGATGTTTTTCTATGAGAAAAGTTCAAAGTAATTTTCCGAAAAGCATGCTTATATCATGAGTACAACAATATTGGGAATATGATGACATAAATCATAAGATAGTTTAACAACTTCCATTTATTTTAAAGTTATATAATCGTAATACTGTAGCCATATAATATTACAGTGTTGATACACACCATGTCAATGTTACAATAAAATTAGACTTAATAAATTGAGAGATCATAATGTTGTCTATAGATTTTGTTAACAGCAGGGAGGTGAACTTACATAACTAGACTGTGATTTACGACTACTAGCTTTTAGAAGATAATTGATTAATTACCTAACTAAGGAGATCACGTTTTCGCTATCACACATGGGGATCAATTCTTTGTTTTTGTTCATCATTTTTCTAACGTAGAAACAGCTTTAAATACCCGTAGGTACCGTTAGTACCGCAAAAACCACAAAAATATTGTTACCTTGTTAAAGATGACCTCGTCAGTCCAACAAGGGATCCTGTCACTGTCAGCAGTGTTGAAGATACCGTCTTGAGATGGAGAGTACCAGTTGTTGGGATCTCCCCAGCTGTACTGTCGCGCTGTGTATGTGTTACTCACGGGACTTGCTGCAAATGGGAGTCTCTTATCAAACAGAAGTATTTATGAAAGAGCAACAAAACAGCATAATAATACACATTGAAATGAGGCTACTTATTAGCACTAATTAGATCTAATTAGCTACTAATTAGCACAAAGGACCAGAAGAAGATACTTACAGCACTGCCCAGGTCCGAGACCGGAGAGACTGAAGCTGATGCTTGAACGTTCCCCAAACATTATCTCCCCAGTGCTCGGGAACTCCAGGGAGTTGAGGTGAGCTCTACTTGACACTAACACTGAGTAGTCGTACCCTGGAGAGGTATTCTTACAAGAACATGATGTGTTTTATGTTTTTTGTCAAATCATCAATTCAAAAAATTGAATTTAGCTGAGAAAATTAGTTTGAAGTTTCAGAAATGGACTTGAGAGAAAGTAATTCATAACAAGAATTTCGCCGCGGTTACACCACGCACGATTAATTTTCCCTGCTTAAACCGTTAACATTTGCAACTAAACGAAAAGATAATTTTATCGATTAATAAAAATTAGATATTGGATTATTTTGTTGTTAAAAAGTTGCAGTATTTTCATCGTAATTTGTCATTGCGCGCGTGCAGGATAATCGAATATTTAGTACGCCGCGCACAAACTTTGGGCTAATTTAATTTGAACGGCATCGTTTGACAATTGAAATTCGCGTTGGATACTGCAATTAACTAACACATGCCGAGCGTCGCGCGCAGCATAACAGACGCTTCCTATACTCATAATTATAGGGGAGTGGTCTATATTGCGAAGGAGCAGACTTTTGTCGTCAACGTAGGACCGTCGGGCCACCTCATATATCCAAACCCGATTACTTATTCCCTACGATCTTTTTGCCTTCGGCAAGAGCAGGGAAAAAAATTATTTTGCACAGCAGCAATGAAAAATGGAAGAGAGAAATAAGAAAGGTAATATGACAAATTCAAAAAGGAACTAACCGAGATCAGACAAAATGACAGGGTCACATGGGTCTGGGGAGACATCCCAGTTTATAGGATTGTTCCAGTTATTGGAGTGAAGCCAGTACTTTCTCACAACACCGTTACTTCCTTCAGCACACAGCACAGCTGAGTTGTGAGCGGATTACAACCACGGATTATAACAGATTTTTTCAAAAAATTTGAAGAAGAAGAATTGAATCGAAAAACCTAAATAAAAACACTTTACACGAATAATGCTATAGAAATACCTGATAAAATTAAAAGTATCGTCATTTTCGGCTTTTTTCTACATCATTCTTTACAACATTTATGCTGCAATTAAATTTTCATTAAAGTAAACATCAATGTTGTAAAACATGTGTGTTTGTATGTGTAGACATGTGGCATAGAGTGGCGATTAATTGAATACCTTTTTAAAGAGTATTGTTAAGCAAACTGTTAGGGAGAACTATATTGTGTTTTATCCCCTCCAATCTTATTCCACAACGAGACCTACACAAATATCAACAATGTATTGTTGCAACAGCTAATTCTGAAAAATTATAATTCAATATAATGAACTATCTGTCATCTTTGAGACTGGTTTTGAGAGAATTCAGATCAGGATCCAAACTTAACTTCAATATCCAGGCAAGGGTGCACATAGTTTACTTTGCAACTTTCAGGGATTTAAAGCTATATAAGCAATTAAGAATTATTCATTAAAAATCAAAAATCAATATACCGATCATGCAGCAGCTGCTGCTTGCAATAAACATATTATAAATAAATCAGCAGAGGCTTGGGGTGGTTTCAAGTGCCGATGGTCACTACTTATCGCCGAATTTGAGGGCAACCTGTGCTCGAAACCAGCTCAACCCTCCACTATGCCAATATGAATATACAAAAATATGAAAATGTAAGAATCTAAGATTATATAATAAAGATACCTAGTCAAGCATTGCATCATTTAATGGGACTTACAGAGCACGAAATTCTTCATCAAAGACCTCTAGCCTCTAGGCCTTTACACATAATATAAGAAATTAGTGTGATCAAAATTAAAAATTGTCCCCTGTAGTCGACTAAATGTATATACAGATTACAGACCCCTCCATGAGTGAGGATGCAAGAAAACATCGTTAAACATCAAATGAAACAACGCAACAGTTTCAACCTTGGAACTAGAAGGAAGTAAGAACACTGAAAACTCAAAACTGGAAATGCTTAATTGACGATGTCAATTCTTCGCAGCTCAGCGAGGCCCAGTAGCTCATCTCGCCGATCTAACGAAGCATTATTGTGATCTAACGAAGCATTATTGCGAGAAGCATTATTATATATATTATATATTGGATGCACGGTCCGACCCAGTAACTAAACGTATCGCGCTACAATGGAAATGCATTCTTGTAAAAGTACAAAGTATGTAATAACAAATAATGCATTAGTGCTCGATTCTGAAAGTACGAATAATATATTTATACATATAATATTACTTGATCTTTGTAGTAATTACACCAAATATATATATTTAGATGAACATTTTCAGTTATAATTAAAATTATTGTCAGTGGACAATGTCCACCAAATGGAAACAAAGCTAAATTGCTGGAATGAAGTGCAAAGTGCGCGCAAAATGAAATTGATACGCAAATTGATACGGTGTGCGGTGTGACTTGTCATACGTTGCATGCCACTTTTGGCGCGCGAAGCGCGCGCCGCCGAAGGATACGAAACATGTATCAAGGTGTGACTAGAGGCAAGATCAGGTGGTTAAATTTAAACAGACGGCTTGACCTCAGCTCGCGCGCGACATCAAATGATTTTTACGCTTGCCACATTCCGATTTTCAAGCAGACAGCATGAGCACGTGACACAATTCAGCCAATCAAAGTAGGTAGTGCGCCATCGACAGTGAGCCGCGCGTGTCGATTGTAGGATGGTTTTTTAGCGCTAATTTCGGTCAGCACAATTTTCTTCAAACAAATAGATATTAAGTATCCTTCCCGACCTCCAATTGCAACAAAAATTGGTAAGCTTTAATAGACTTACAAGGAAAGTGTCCGAAAAGTTTAAAGCATATCATATCCAACCATCAGACATAAAATGGGGCAAAATACGCTACTTTTAGCTGTTACATAATTATATTACAGCTAAAAGCAGCGCATTTTGCCCCATTTGGAACATTATATCAACTTCCATATCCACCAAATTTGTCGGACAGTTGTTACTCATGTTTGTAGCGCGATGCACTACTGGGTCGCGCGCGCATCAAATAATGCTTCTCGCAACCACACTTCGGTAGATCGGCAAAATGCACCACTGTGCCTCACCGAGCTGCGAAGGATTGACATCGTGAATCAAAACAGTTGTGAAAGCTTTATTGAAACTGGAAGGTCGTCGCCAATTTTCAGAATGATCTCATTCAAGGAACCGAAGATATATCCGAATATTAATTGTTAATACCACAAAAATCAACGAATTTGGTCAAATTACGCGACTTTTACATATTTTTACAGCTACTTTTGCTCCAAAAGCCGCGCACCATCAAATATGGCCTGGCACCTCTTTACTGGGCCGCGCTCAGCCTGTCATTCCGCCTAATCTCTATTCGGTTTACCAACATTAAAGCCTGGGGTCCTCAGGTAAGGCACCTTTAGGCGAAACTCACTGATCTTCCCAAAAAAGGTATGACAAATTTGGTATTGTGAAAATTCTCACAGTCTCTAAAAAATTGACCATTGTTAATGGTGATCTGGCCCGGCGCGCGCTACTTCGAAGAAATTTAGACGAGTATAACATCCACCAAAAAAAAACAAAAAAAAATCCGAGCAAGTTTATTTTTATCGTGCACCCCCTAATCAGAGGACAGGAATCCGCAAAGTTAAAGTTGCAAACTTTTGATCGGCCCAAAATGAGACTTTTCTGGAGTGTGGAGATTTTGAGATAACTGATCAACGACTACTTTGTCTTAAATTTTCCTTTTGGGTCGAGGTATTATAACCTTAGTTTTGCGAAACGAACATTTTGTTGAAAACCATGAGTCGTTTGTATATCTTTTATTTTTGAAGTTAGGCCCCTACCAATAAGGTATTACTATTCTGTGTTCTGGGCAGTGAGGACTGAGGCAGAAAGTTGTATCGCGCGGCCGGCCTTCGCCTCAATACTATGGCTAGGGGGTGCACCATAAAAATAAACTTGCTCGGATTTTAAAAATTTTTGTACCAATGTTTTCTAGAGACTGTGAGAATTTTCACAATACCAAATTTGTCATACCTTTTTGGAAAGATCAGTGAGTTTCGCCTAGGTGCCATATTTGATGGTGCGCGGATTTTGGAGCAAAAGTAGCTGTAAAAGTCGCGTAATTTGACCAAATTCGTCCAAATTTGACCATTTTTGTCGTATTATTCGGATATATCTTCAGTTCCTTAAATGAGATCATTCTGGAAATTGGCGACGACCTTCAAATAGGGCTTTCACATCTGTCCGAAAAATTTGGTGGATATCGGAGTTGATATAGTGATCAGAATGGGGCAAAATACGCTGCTTTTAGCTGTAACATAATTTCTGATGGTTGGATATGCTTTAAATTTTTCGGACACTTTCCTTGTAAGTCTATGAGTAAGCTTACCAATTTTTGTTGCAATTGGAGGTCGGGAAGGATTCTAAATATCTATTTGTTTGAAGAAAATTGTGCTGGCCAAAATTAGCGCTAAAAAACCATCATACAGTCGGCACGCGCGGCTCACTGTCGATGGCGCACTACCTACTATGGCCATGGGGTCGTTCACATATTACGTAATCAATATTTTGGCAATTTCTACCCCCCTCCGTATAATAGTAATCAACTGTAATCAAGACCGAACCCCCCTCCTATATTAGGAGCTAACACACGCAAGCGCGCTATATCACGCGCATGTGACTTAAACACTGCAAATATCATTGGTCATCTTTATATTATTATTATTATATAACTTTATTCAAATCAAAAATAGAACATAAAGAACATCTTGATGACCTGATAAGTCACCAAGAGAAAAATAACACAGAATAAACTAAATCATGCTTAACTCTCTCCATGCTTTTCTATCTGTTGCAAAAAGTCTTAAATGGTATAAATCGTCTGTATTTACAAGTCTAAAGTTTCTGTCACTTAAATCGTTCAAAATAGTTTTTAACAAGTTTGACTGGTGTCGTCCGACTCTACCTCTCATCAAACTCTGACTCTCTACAGCAAAATGTAAGGCAAGCTGGGCAGGTGAGTTATTATCACTGCGGAGGATGTGACCAAGCATTCTCCACCGTGCACGAGCAACACGCTCACTTAGTGGAACAACTTCGCAGCGTTTGTATAGAGTCACATTTCGTATGACATTAGGGTAGGTCATGCCGATGATCGTACGGAGATGATTCCTGTGGCAGACATCAAGTTTTTGAAGGAGTTGTTTAGATGTTGCCCAACTGTTGCAATTATACATCAGTATTGAAACAACTTGTGCTTCATATATCTTGAGTCGAATCTTCAAGGGTATACGTCTACCTTGTTCCCAGACTTTTTTGTAGTTCTGAAAAGCAATGTTTAGCAAGTATACATCGTCTCTTGACATCTTTGATGCTACACAACTTAGAGCCTAAAGAGATAGATGACCTCCAAGGTTCTCTACCTCTGAGTGGCTCTCCTTTGTCATCAACCTCGTTCTTGCCGGCCAGATAGAAGTGGGTGAACTCGGTTTTTGACTCATTGGACAAAAAGATTCCACTCTTCCAATACTCTTTACATATTGGCAACAAAGACTCCAAGTTGCTTTTATCCTCATCAGTAAAATCAGCATCATCTGCATACTCCCACTCGAGGGGTAACAGATTCTCAGCTTATGGGAGGGTTAGGTCTTAGATAGGGACATAACAGCACGCAGGTGTAAAGTGCTGCTGCCAGATATAGAGTGAACAAGTTTCCAGACAAACTGTCGCCTTGAAAAGCTCCAATCGTGACAATTAACTCTCCCGATATTGTTGAGTTCACTTTGATCTTCAGTTTTAGTATTTGCGAGCAAATACCTTACCAGTCGAATGTCGTCCTCACTACAACCAGCATCAGCTAAAATGTCAAGTAATACCGACCTCTTTATGGTATCAAGAGCAGAGGACATGTCAATGGCCCATCTTATGAAGAGACCCACGTTTTCTTTGACAACTGACACTAGTATTCGCTGGGTCCAAACGATATTTGCACAACTATGGCCAGGTTTATAGGCATTCTCCAAGGACCAGTGTATTGAGATACTTGCCTTTGGATTGCGCTTCAAGACTATCGTGGACAATATCTTTCTAGTAACGTTTAGTAGGCAAAGTGGGGGCGCAAACTCTTAGGGGGGCCTAGTTGCTTTCCAGGTTTTTGGAGCGGAGTAAGGTAGCCCTCTGTGAAAGAAGGTACATGTTCATGGGAGCTCAAAGGATCGATTAGGTAAGTTGTGCAAATGTGGAAAAAAAGATTTCTGGAGAGTGGTTGAGAAATTCGTTTGGGATCCCATCTGGTCCAACAGCTGTACCGTTCTTGAGTTTCTTGCCGCAAGCTCAACTTCAAACGCTGTAATGGGGTTTTTGAAGGGCCTAGGGTTACCTGTGAGACGGTTCTAGTGGTGGTTCACTGTCAGGTCCAGTGTAGTGTTCTTCGAAGTACTGGCGAATGATTTCAGCCTTGTCTCGTTCATTATCTACCAGTTGGTTGTCAGTGTTGAAAACAGACACAGAGCCTGCAACCCGTTTTCTGTTTGCCTGATAGTTAACGAGCAGCTTCAAACATTCTCCGTCCTTCGTCTATGGGTGGCTATAGAGTTAGCTAGGCTTTTTGCTAACTCAACTCTCATTGTTTTCAACCGTTTAGTAATGTCGTTTGAGAGCCTGTTGATTTAGCTCTGAGAGCTGTCCTGTCTCTGTATTCGTTGTTGTTCAGTTGTTGTAAAAGTTGTTTCCTTTCTTCAGACATGCTACAACTTGACTGTCAGAGGAATGATTCCTCTTTCGCTGTGGCTCGCGAAAACCCACAGTGGAAACAGCAGCTTCTTTAACTTCACCAAAAAGTATATCAAATTTGCTGTTCCGTGTTGTTGGAGGTAAAGTCAGGATCTGATACAGTTTGCTCAAGTTTCTGACGAAGTTCTTGCTGATATTGGTTGTTGAGCCGTGTTTGCTTCCAATCAAGGTTGTTGTGTTATATGTCTTCTGAAATGCTCTGCTCTCCCTGTACAAAATAAGCGCTGCGAAAAATCTGCCTTGGCACAACAAGTTTGGTGGTCACTTGCGGTGCTTTGTACCTGCATATGACCTGGCATCAGTTAGCAGTGCCTTGCTTCGGGACTTGCAGAGTATGAAGTCAATCTGTTGGAAATAAGGTTACTTTCCTGGTTGCTCGATCCCGAATCCAACCAGTCCGTGTGGTAATGTGTCTGCTGCTATGGGAGAATGAAGTGTTGGCAGCAAACAGGCCATTAGCATGAGAAAGTGTAGCAACCTTTCACCGTTTCATTCCTCCTCCCAACACCATGTCTACCAATATTCACATGTAAACCATTTTCTACATCAACAGGGCTTCTTTTGCCAAGTTTGGGCATTAAAGTCGCCTAACATCCATACTTCAAATCTAGCAGGTACACTGATAGCCTCGAGTAGCTCATCGTAAAATTGAGTTGCTAATCGGGGATTCTGAACTGACTTGGGATTCGTAGGGCTGTAACAATTAACAATTCTGATATGACAAGGGGGTTGATCCACCCTTTAGCACTTAATTTAAAGTCCATATAAACAACTCTGTCACTGATCTATGATGAGATACTATACATTCCAAAAAACGCTTGTTAACAATAAACCCAAGTCCACCGTGTCTATCGTGTCTCTGATTCTACCCCCCCTCCGTATAATAGTAATCAACTGTAATCAAGACCGAACCCCCCTCCTATATTAGGAGCTAACACACGCAAGCGCGCTATATCACGCGCATGTGACTTAAACACTGCAATATCATTGGTCATCTTTATATTATTATTATTATATAACTTTATTCAAATCAAAAATAGAACATAAAGAACATCTTGATGACCTGATAAGTCACCAAGAGAAAAATAACACAGAATAAACTAAATCATGCTTAACTCTCTCCATGCTTTTCTATCTGTTGCAAAAAGTCTTAAATGGTATAAATCGTCTGTATTTACAAGTCTAAAGTTTCTGTCACTTAAATCGTTCAAAATAGTTTTTAACAAGTTTGACTGGTGTCGTCCGACTCTACCTCTCATCAAACTCTGACTCTCTACAGCAAAATGTAAGGCAAGCTGGGCAGGTGAGTTATTATCACTGCGGAGGATGTGACCAAGCATTCTCCACCGTGCACGAGCAACACGCTCACTTAGTGGAACAACTTCGCAGCGTTTGTATAGAGTCACATTTCGTATGACATTAGGGTAGGTCATGCCGATGATCGTACGGAGATGATTCCTGTGGCAGACATCAAGTTTTTGAAGGAGTTGTTTAGATGTTGCCCAACAACCATATTTTTCCCGGTCATTAATTCTCCCAGTAATAAATTAACCCGCTATAATATTCCCGAGTAAGGTAATCAAGATTAGACAATGAATGAAATAATCGCAAAGCACTTACTAAACGATAATTGGTTTAAAAAACGAAAATTTTGACTACATAATTAACGAAAATTACCCAATTGCTATTTCGAAAATCTTTTTGGCGAGTCCAGACTATGGTCTAGTCTAAACTTTTACAAAGCCTTAGAGAAAGAGATGCAACGTAGCGCCGCCGGATTGGTACGTTGTAAACAGACAAGATAAAACACTTTTGATAAGATTCTGTGAAATGAATTTTAATTTAATAATTAACTCTTAATTTAATAATTAACTACTTTAATAAATAACTCGTGACAGTCGAGTGTAGAGTGATTAATCATCATCCGTAATGGAGGGGTGGTAAGAGTCTAAACTTTTACAAAGCCTTAGAGAAAGAGATGCAACGTAGCAGCGCCGGATTGGTACGTTGTTGGTTGTTATGTAAACAGACAAGATAAAACACTTTTGATAAGATTCTGTGAAATGAATTTTAATTTAATAAAAGCATTTATTTGGCTACATTTATCATCATTATCATATTATATCTTGCAGTCATCAATGTACTTAAAAAATTCGGAGCCAAGTGAAAGATTTTACCATCTTTGGATTATAAAGAGTGCAACATTCAATCATAAAAATTAGAACATTAACCGTATAAAATCAAAACTTTAATCAGGATGTATAAATCAACTTGCCGAGTAACTAATTTGTTAGCCGTTCCCAAAAAAGTGCTTAATGCCGAAAGGAATGTAAATAATCATACGAACAGAATATTAATGATGGAAAAATATTATAAGGAAAACGCATCGATAAAATTGCGAAAACTAATAACTTTAACTCTTAAAACTCGCTTTCGGTGAAAATGTCACCGTGCGATCTTGTTCTACTCTATACTTCTAAAAGTCTGACACTGATGACCACCTTAGCATATTCAAACTGTATCAGTGTTTCAATGAAACGCGGGCATTGAACTGAAGAAGTCCTATATATTTAATTTAATAGGCAGTGTCTCTGAAGTAGAGACAAGTTGAGACATCTCCTTTCAAGAGGAACTCAAGGAGGAAGCGTCCGAGTTGTTGCAGTTATTGTGTATCTCAGGGATCAGAATGGTTGTGAGAGCGTCCGTCTCGTCCTGACTAGACGCCTGCAAATACACACTAATAACTAATCACTAATTACTAAATACACACTAATTACTAATAAAAAACCCTGAACTTAACTATAATTATATAAGATGTAAATTACAAATTGTAAATTTCATGTTGCAATTTAATTACACTCATACATACAATAGCAAGAAGGAATCCTCAATATTGTTCACTTTTAAGATTTAGGATTTTGATAATGCCAATTATCAAATTGATAGTAGATAAAAGATGAAAGTAAGTTAAATATGTATATTAAATGATATAACTAACCATCATGTAGTAAGTTCTCTTTTTAGTGATGACTTCAAACAGAAACTTCTTGTCGGGATACTTGCAAGATCTCCTAGCTAAAATAACTTCCGCCATGTATATTATCCCTGAACAAGAGTTAAGGGTTAACAAATTAATAACTAATGTACAGAGCTGCTCGTGATTTCCTCATTCTAGTCTACATTAATTGGTGATTCTTAAGGGCCCATACACCAAATCTGTCGAGCCCAAATGACTTCATAGGAAGTTCAGAGACCAGGGTCCTTGCCACATTAACATGCCGCCATAAGCAGTAATTCCTTCTCAGATCGAGCGAGTAGAGACTATAATATATTAACTCGTTTTGTACTTAGTTCGTTTAATTACGGCTGGTTAAATTTGGCGGTTTTCGGAAATTCCGCCATATTTTAACCCGCCATTATTTTTACCCGCCATAATAAAACCCGCCGAGTCAACTTTTGGAGTTCTGACAGGGTATTATATGGTATAATAATTGATTATCGTTCTTTTATTACATTGATACAAGCGTCGTAAACTCTATTTCTAGGTATTCCGACCATAACGAGGTGGTTTTAATCGAAAAATCTAATAATTTGGTTGTAATGGACGAACAAGTACTGTTAAACTGATTGATACCGTGCTATGATACTTTTTACCTATTCATACTTACTACCTATTTATATCAACAGGGGGTTCTTTTGCGATAGTCAAAACGCGACAACTAGCGCTGGATGGCGACAACCAGCGCTATCCAGCGCTAGTTGTCGCCATCCAGCGCTAGTTGTCGCTATCCAGCGCTGGATAACGCTGGCCAGCGCTAAATATATTTGTTCGATAATTGTCGCTATCCAGCGCTAGTGCTAGTTGTCGCCATCTATCGCACGCGATAGTTTGCGATGGCCAGCGCAACTGGCCATCGCAAAAAACAGTTCGATAACTAGCACGCTGGCCAGCGCTGGCTAGCGCTGGCTAGCGCTGGCTAGCGCTGGCTAGCGCTGGATGGCGACAACTAGCGCTGGCCAGCGCTAAGCGATAGCCAGCGCAACATTTTTGCGATATTACTCGTCAGCTAGCCAGCGCTGGCCAGCGCTAGCCATCGCTAGCCAGCGCTAGCCAGCGCTAGCCAGCGCTAGCCAGCGCTAGCCAGCGCTAGCCAGCGCTAGCCATCGCTGGCCAGCGCAATGTATCAAAATCATATAATTATAATTGCGATATTACTCGTCAGCCAGCGCTAGCCAGCGCTGGCGAGCGCTGGCCATCGATAGCCAGCGCTAGCCAGCGCTAGCCAGCGCAATGTATCAAAATCATATACTTGCGATATTACTCGTCAGCCAGCGCTAACCAGCACTATCCAGCGCTATCCAGCGCTATCCAGCGCTATCCAGCGCTATCCAGCGCTATCCATCACTGGCCAGCGCAATGCATCAAAATCATATACTTGCAATATTACTCGTCAACCAGCGCTAGGTAGTGCAAGTTATAATAATCAAATATTTGCGATATTAATCGATGGCTAGCGCTGGTTAGTGCTGCCCAGTGCAATATACCAAAATCAAATATTAGCGATATTATTTATCGTCAGCTGACGCTGACTGACCAGCGCAATATATTTGCGATATTTCTTGTCAGCTTAACGCGGGTGATACTCGTAAAATTGACTGACTGACTGACTTAAGGCGGCTTCAGCGTCCGAGTATTGATGCGCTGTCTCCATAAAACTCTATCCGCCATAAGTCCGCCCATTTCTCCAGTGTCGTTGAGACCCGTGTCAGCTCGTAAGCTATCAACATAAGTCATGGCTGGTCTCCCCCTACTCCGCACCCCATGAGTTGGTTCCCAGAGTAGCAAGCGGTTTGCGACTAGTTCTGGGTGCCGGTGGATATGGCCTGCTAGTCGCATCCTGCGCTCTTGGATCTTCATGGTTGCTCTTGGTAGGTTGCCATAGACTTCTTTGTTGGTTTTGCGCTGCTTCCAATCCACATTTAGTGCCATCCTTAGCATTCTGGTGTAGCAGCCATCAATGCGTTTCTTCAATTGCTCTGTCAACGTCCACGTTTCAGAACCATAAAGAAGTATTGACTCCACAGTAGCAACAAATAGACGGATCTTTAGTCCTCTTCTAAGGTCAGACTTCCACATCTTCTTCAACTTGTGGCAGGCTGCCCAAGCCTTAGCTTTTCTGACCCGCAGGTCCCTCTCTGTTGTTGCTATCCATGCTCCAAGGTAAACAAAGTCTGTCACCTTTTCCAGCTGGTTTCCACCACAACTGTTAAGACTACTCGCCTCCTCTGTCATGTTCAGAGTCATGAACTTAGTTTTAGTGTCGTTCATGGCTAGCCCAACACTCAGTGCTGCTTTCTCAAGCCTGTCCAGGAGTAGTTTTGCCCCTTCAATGGTATCAGTGATAAGGGCAACATCATCTGCAAACTCGACGTCTGCGATTTTCTCGGCACCAATCCTTCTACTCCGTGCAGGCCTGAGAGTGAACCCAGAGTCCGAGTCATCATCGTCTATAGTCACTGTCATGATATAGTCAATCACGATAATGAACAAGTACGGGGCAAGAGTGTCTCCTTGCAGTACTCCAGCCAGGATATCAAAAATCTCTGTTATACCATCAGCTGTAACTACTTTAGCCTTTGTGCTCGTATATATACCCTCAATGAGCCGCACTATGGCTTCTGGTATGCCATATGCTTTCAATATCTTCATGAGCAAACCTCTATGCACACTATCGAACGCCTTCTTGAAATCAATGAAAACCATGGTGGCCTTTAGGTTTTTGGCTCTAGCACCCTCCATAATTCTTCGTAGAGCAAGAATGTGCGATGTTGTAGAGCGCCCAGGTCTAAAGCCATTCTGGTTGTCCCTTAAAACTTCCTCAAGACTTGGTTTCATCCTGTTAAGCAACATTTTGTTCAGAGTTTTACTGACTATCGATGTCAGAGATATTCCTCTGTAGTTGTCGGTCTTAGTGAGGTCCCCTTTCTTTGGCACAGGAACAATATTACTGAGCTTCCATTGATCGGGCATGAGACCATCACATAGTGCATCGTTGCAGAACTTCAGGATGACGTCATCAATGTCCACCCTCTTCATCACTTCAGGTGAGATACCATCATCACCATAAGCTTTACCTTCTACTATCTGCTTTTTGGCAAGACGTAGTTCCTCAATGGTGAACGGGCCATCTTCTATATTCAGTGGAGGGTGTATATTCCTGATCGGAATACTATTGTCAGGGACTGTGGGTGGCTGTCCAAGTAATCCAGAGAAGTGCTTCCTCCAGTTCTCGAGACGTTCTGTTGAGCTGCCCCCTTCAACGAGTCCACAGCTGGGATTTGTTCTCCCTGAAATATCGTTGACAAGCTTCCAGCTTTCCTTGTTCTTACAACGATCAGCAGTATCCTCAACTTTCCTGATCTTTCCTTTCAGGATCTCCTCCTCTACCTCTTTGTAGCAGGCCTTTAACAAATCCTTTTTAGTGGCGACTTCCTCTCTCTTCTCCTCGCAAGGCTCCTGATGGTATTGGTCCTTGGCCAAGAACAGTCCCCTCCTTGCACTGTCCACTCTTGGGTCACTTGAGGGGTCAATCTGCTTTTGTCGAGTCTTCTTTGGCAGAAGGCTCTTGTTTGCCGCCTCAATAGCAACCATAAGCTTCCCGTAGCTTTCAGTGGCCCCATCATCCTCCTCTACCAGGCCAGAGAATCTATTCCGAACTTCAATTGCATACTTTTTTTGAAGCTCACCATCCGACTTCAGGGCACTATAATCATAGTTAACTTTTTTCGGAGGCCTGTGTCCTTTCCTAAAGCTAACTTTGATCTTACACACTACAACTCTGTGATCAGATCCCAACGACTGAAAAGTGTTGTAAACTTCAGTGTTCTTTAAAGAGTTTTTCCACTTCTTCCGTATGAGGATATAGTCAATCTGACCTTTGTTAAGTGTCCCATCGGATAAGAAGGTCCACCTCTTGTTGACCTTCTTTCTGAAGCGGATATTGGTAATTTCCATATCGCACTCCAGGGCAGTGTCTCTCAGTAGCTCTCCATTCCGATTGGTACGAGTATGAAAGTACCAACGGGAATCTTCTTCACTCACCTTTCCAAGCCGGGCGTTCATATCTCCCTCAGTGATCAGCAGGTGGTGCGCTGGCACATCGTTCATAGCCTGTCTAAGGGTGTTATGAAAATCCTCCGCTTCTTCAACTAGTGCTGCCTCGGTCGGACTATAAGCAGTTATAGTTGTGAGTCTGGGATTCCCATTGAAAGAGATAGTCAGCACCCTTGAGCCATAGGGTTTAATGAGGCTGATTGCGCTGTATGCTCTTCTAGTCAGCAGAAAGCCCACTCCACCAGTGGCTGCTCCTGCTCCATTCCTCCATGCTGAAACAGTTACCAAGCTAACCCCCTCCTTGAACTTTTCAATCTTGATCGGCTCCTGGTGGACAATCCTATGTTCTTGGATCCCAAGGATCTCCATGCCACTCTCCAGAAACTGAGTCACGAGTTCAAGGCGCTTGTAACCTTCTCTAGCAGTTCGGACATTAAATGTCCCTACTAGAGCTACCTCACTACAAGAAACCAATGCATCCCCATCCTTTTTTTGGTGTTTTATGTTATTTTTTGTGCCGGGTGAAGGAGCCGGCATATCATCTGTCACCCCTCTCCTAGGGAGTTTTAGGGTGAGAGAGTCATCATTCCGGTCCCCTCCGACATCTAAATCAGTGGTAGGGACTTTAACCCTAGTGTTATTATAAGACATCATCATACTTTTCAATGGCTGGTGTCTCATGCGCAGTCCCCTGCACATCAGGCAAAGTGAGACACCTACTTAACGCCGGGCGCCACTTGAGCGTTAAATGACTTATCCATCTTGGCCACGTGAGTAACAACTTCCGCTAGAACACATGTTGCTACCAATCAGTAAGAGTGGGTTTTGTGATGATGCCCTGTCGTTGTATTATTTCTTCTTTCTTCGCCAATTCCAATAAATGACTATACGCTTTTGTCCCAAAGCTTAGGGAGATTAGAGTGAGAGCCAAGGCTCCACTTTTACGGGGGCTAACCTTCCCCCTGACTACCTCGTTACCCCAGGCATGGGGGGCCGATCCTGTTACCAGAGCGTGGTCCAGTTTACCTGGGTCATGGAAACAAGGTCAGAGGCAAACGGCCAATACCTCTTTAGCTACTGTTCACTCCACAGCCGGGGGAGTCACTGATTCTCTGCACCTCTCTTCTCTTGAGGTTTAGAGTTAGGAGACAATTATGTGATCCAATAATTGAAATCCGCGGGGGTCAGTGAGCCTCCCGTCGCCCTTCGCTGCCCTTAGCCTGGAGATCACCACTGTTCATCCAGTTTCCAGTCTTCACCGCGAGGAGGTAGCAGGATAGGACTTGTTGTGGAGAGGCTTCATCTTGCTGTTCGATGTGGTACTGGAAAAGGGCACCAACGGGATAGCCCTTTTTCGAGGTTCTGGCTGCTGCAGGCAGATCCAGGGTCTCTATCCAGCGGTAACGCTTTGGGTCACCTGCGCTTCACACAACCATTGGAAGACCAAATTCGTAAAATTGGAAATATTTTTTCAAATCCAAGTCCAACTCGGTGCGCATTTATATGTAAAGGAACGGTTATAAACCTACATCTACAATCGTCTGCTAGCGTTGGCTTACTAGCTGGGCGGAGCTCAACTTACTGGGCGGCGCACAGCCTGTCATTCCGCGGGATCTCTATTATATGTTTATCTCTATTCTATGTTTATAAACATAGTATCCTGCGGTCCCCAGTATGTGGCTCAGTATGCAGTATGCAATACACCGCTATATTAGCAGACTTTACTCAACGCGCTAAATTCTATTACATATATATTATGCGCGGCGCTCTTTTCGATCGTGAATCCTAGTAAGGTCAGGAAACCTTACTGGATGCACAAAATGATCATACTCATAGTGCAAATAAACTTCGGCTAACTGCTAACTAAGCAGCAGTTTCTTTGCACTATAGTTAACGGGTGATACTCGTAAAATATTTGTTCCAACTCGGCGCGCGTCCTGGAAGGTTATAAACCTACAACACTATGGTTCTCCTGTGTCGTGCGCGGCGGGTAAGATCATACAACGCGTCGCGTATGACAACAATGTCCTTAATTCTCCTCCAGAAGAAAAAACGTTATTTTCTCAAGGCGTATATTTTGCAAAAATCCGGAAGTCTCTATTTTTATTGGCCCCATCCACAGGAAAGAAACTGCTGCGAACTGCAAACTGCGGCTATGGACGCGCGTGAGACAGTTAGCAGCAGTTAGCAGCAGTGAGTGAGTAGCTGTTAGCAGCAGTTGGGATCAGATTAGAGGGGTAAGGTTTCGAATAGACGTCCAGGACTAGCTACCCAGGAAAAGTTACCGGCTGGTGGTGGTACTAGAGTTGGTTTAATTTAAACAGACGGCTTGACCTCGCGCGCGACAACAAGCATGATTTGCACGCGTGGCGTATTCCAATGTTCAGGCAGCTACCACGTGACACAATTCAGCCAACCAGAGTACAGGAATCCGCAAAGTTAAAGTTGCAAACTTTTGATCGGCCCGAAAGGGGACTTTTCTGGAGATTTTGAGATAACTCAACAATTACGTTGTCTTGAATTTTCCTCCTGGAGAGGTAACGTTACTTTTAAAAGAGGAACATGTTACAAAAAACCGGAAGTCTCCAACTCTTTTACTTTCAAAGTTAAGCCCCATCCGGTCAGGGTTCCTGGGTGCAGCTGGCTGACGCCAAGTGGGGTGTTTTGGCCGTTCTAACTTAAGACTTTTATGAATTAAAGCAGCCGTATTGATCTTCCAAACCTACAACTTTCAAGGGCTAGAATTCGCTGTATTTTGCCGTTAAAACACAACTTGTACTGTTTAACTTCATGATTGGGCCGTAATTCAAAAGCAAATTGGCAAGAAGTGGTGCTCACGGTCTCACTTAACGTCACTTATCGCTCAGTTAAGAGCGACCATGGTCTTAAGCGACAGACAGCCTGCAGGCATATGATCCGAATACGAAATATCCTTGTGTTCGGCATTTAATAGCCCTAATTGGTTACTTCGTATAGAGAACGGGTTGAAAAAGTTTCGTGACAGTCGAGTGTAGAGTGATTAATCATCATCCGTAATGGAGGGGTGGTAAGAGTCTAAACTTTTACAAAGCCTTAGAGAAAGAGATGCAACGTAGCGCCGCCGGATTGGTACGTTGTAAACAGACAAGATAAAACACTTTTGATAAGATTCTGTGAAATGAATTTTAATTTAATAAAAGCATTTATTTGGCTACATTTATCATCATTATCATATTATATCTTGCAGTCATCAATGTACTTAAAAAATTCGGAGCCAAGTGAAAGATTTTACCATCTTTGGATTATAAAGAGTGCAACATTCAATCATAAAAATTAGAACATTAACCGTATAAAATCAAAACTTTAATCAGGATGTATAAATCAACTTACCGAGTAACTAATTTGTTAGCCGTTCCCAAAAAAGTGCTTAACGCCGAAAGGAATGTAAATAATCATACGAACAGAATATTAATGATGGAAAAATATTATAAGGAAAACGCATCGATAAAATTGCGAAAACTAATAACTTTAACTCTTAAAACTCGCTTTCGGTGAAAATGTCACCGTGCGATCTTGTTCTACTCTATACTTCTAAAAGTCTGACACTGATGACCACCTTAGCGTATTCAAACTGTATCAGTGTTTCAATGAAACGCGGGCATTGAACTGAAGAAGTCCTATATATTTAATTTAATAGGCAGTGTCTCTGAAGTAGAGACAAGTTGAGACATCTCCTTTCAAGAGGAGCTCAAGGAGGAAGCGTCCGAGTTGTTGCAGTTATTGTGTATCTCAGGGATCAGAATGGTTGTGAGAGCATCCGTCCAGGTCGTCATCTCGTCCTGACTAGACGCCTGCAAATACACACTAATAACTAATCACTAATTACTAAATACACACTAATTACTAATAAAAACCCTGAACTTAACTATAATTATATAAGATGTAAATTACAAATTGTAAATTTCATGTTGCAATTTAATTACACTCATACATACAATAGCAAGAAGGAATCCTCAATATTGTTCACTTTTAAGATTTAGGATTTTGATAATGCCAATTATCAAATTCATAGTAGATAAAAGATGAAAGTAAGTTAAATATGTATATTAAATGATATAACTAACCATCATGTAGTAAGTTCTCTTTTTAGTGATGACTTCAAACAGAAACTTCTTGTCGGGATACTTGCAAGATCTCCTAGCTAAAATAACTTCCGCCATGTATATTATCCCTGAACAAGAGTTAAGGGTTAACAAATTAATAACTAATGTACAGAGCTGCTCGTGATTTCCTCATTCTAGTCTACATTAATTGGTGTTTCTTAAGGGCCCATACACCAAATCTGTCGAGCCCAAATGACTTCATAGGAAGTTCAGAGACCAGGGTCCTTGCCACATTAACATGCCGCCATAAGCAGTAATTCCTTCTCTGATCGAGCGAGTAGAGACTATAATATATTAACTCGTTTTGTACTTAGTTCGTTTAATTACGGCTGGTTAAATTTGGCGGTTTTCGGAAATTCCGCCATATTTTAACCCGCCATTATTTTTACCCGCCATAATAAAACCCGCCGAGTCAACTTTTGGAGTTCTGACAGGGTATTATATGGTATAATAATTGATTATCGTTCTTTTATTACATTGATACAAGCGTCGTAAACTCTATTTCTAGGTATTCCGACCATAACGAGGTGGTTTTAATCGAAAAATCAAATAATTTGGTTGTAATGGACGAAGAAGTACTGTTAAACTGATTGATACCGTGCTATGATACTTTTTACCTATTCATACTTACTACCTATTTATATCAACAGGGATATTATACTACAATACTTTTAATTTTAAAATGTTATTTTACTTTGAAATTGCAAAAAAATATGCAGTCTGGATGGAAAATTGGGTAGAATTTTGCAATATGGCAGGTATAATTCGGTCGATTTTTCAGATTTTGTTGTGAAGATAATGTTGCTGTTAAATAAGTGACGGGTTAAATTAGGTGGATTTTGGAAAATCCGCCATATTATTAACCGCCATTATTTTTACCCGCCACAATATTACCCGCCATAAATATACGAACGAAGGTATCTACATTCTACGTTGGCCACATGAAACGCACAGGTAGACCAGGAGAGTGTTAATTGAATCGTTTGCTTTGTTTCTTTACCCGTTACTGAGCTGAACATTCTGAGTGTAAATACCTTCGGAACATATAAAATAGCTAGTTATTTTAAGTTTCCATAAATCTTGATTTGTTGACATAGAAAAAAGGCAGTAGTTGAAATGTCTGTATGTACAGAGCTGCTCGTGATTTTCTCATTCTCATCTACATTATTTATTGATCCCAAATCTAAATATTCTCCACTATTACTAGTTACTATGTTCCCCAAACCGACCATGTCAAATACAGATCCTGGGTATAAACTTCTGACCGGCACTGACAAAGGAGACGGAGTTTACGCAACAAGACAGTTCAAACGCAACGATATTGTCATGAAGGCCAAGGGAAACATGGTGAGAGTAGCTGAAAAGAACACTGCCTGGACAACGCAAGTAGGCGTCAACATGTTCATCCTACGAGATGGACTCTCTATAAAAGTTAACCACTCTTGTAGCCCTAATGTTGGGTATAGAGATAACCAAGACGGCGGGATGGACTACTTCGCTTTCAGGGATATTTCGAGTGGGGAGGAGATTGTTGGTGATTATGCGATAGGTAACTATAGGATAGATCATATGCCTGCTTGTTTATGTGGATCTGTAAAGTGCAGAAAAACTATCTCTGTGTGGAAGGATTTGCCAGATGAGATCAAGAAAGAGTATGAAGGTTTCCATGCAGCATATCTAAGTGAATTGGACGCTCTCAATGCACAGTAGCATTCAATTTATTCTCAGTTTGTTCTGTGTACTTTCTAAATGGATTTTAATTGTACGAGTTTATGGACTGACGGGGGATGGGGGGGGGGGGGGGGGGGGGGGGGGGGGGTGTCATGGGGGCTTACCTTTCGCTGCTGGGGGGGGGGGGGGGGGGGGGTGTCATGGGGGCTTACCTTTCGCTGCTGGCTCGGGGGGGGGGGGGTCATGGGGGCTTACCTTTCGCTGCTGGGGGGGGGGGGGGGTCATGGGGGCTTACCTTTCGCTGGGGGGGGGGGGGGGGGCTTACCTTTCGCTGCTGGGGGGGGGGGGGGGGGGGGGGTGTCATGGGGGCTTACCTTTCGCTGGGGGGGGGGGGGGGGGCTTACCTTTCGCTGCTGGGGGGTGTCATGGGGGCTTACCTTTCGCTGGGGGGGGGGGGGGCTTACCTTTCGCTGCTGGGGGGGGGGGGGGGTGTCATGGGGGCTTACCTTTCGCTGCTGGGGGGGGGGGGGGGGGTGTCATGGGGGCTTACCTTTCGCTGGGGGGGGGGGGGGGGGGGGGCTTACCTTTCGCTGCTGTACTCTCTTCTTCTCTATACGTTAAAGCTGAACTTGACAGCGTAAACCACCTTCTCTTCCAGTTCTTTATCTTCTGACCTGATAAAAAGAGGCCACTTTAATGCAAATGTCCAAATTAATTTAATAATCCAGTATTTAATTAGTTGTTGGTAGGCTCAGGACGGTTGACTTATTCAACCGACGAAAAAAACAATTAATTATTTAATATACAATAAGTAATAACATATTATAATAATAACACTGATATAATTATGATATAACAGATAATTATGAGATATAACAGATAATTATGATATAACAGATAATTATAAGATATAGCTGATAACACACCCTGTTTGATAAGGTACCCTTCCCTGACAATCGGTGCGTTTAGGATATCAGATGGTACCTCCGACAGGTCAGTATCTGAATCAACTGAGGGTCGTGGAGAAAACGGCTGAAATAGGTTAAAGAGGTTAATATGAGGTTAAAACGAGGTTGAAACTTGAAAGGAGGTCAGTTTATTGATACTAAAGTCAATAATATTACAATATATTGATGATAGAGCAGTGATTTAGTCCCGAAAGCCGGAAAGCTGTTATGAAATCAGCTGTAGCCTGTAATCTAAATTTGGAACGTTTATTACTGATACACAATTTGTAAATCGTTGGTAATGATATTTGGGATCAAATACAGATTGAGGGGAACACAAGTGAGCACACAGATCTGCTGAGAGTTGCAGTAGGTCACACGTGCAGGTCACGTGTAGGTCACACACGTGCAGGTCACGTGTAGGTCACACACACGTGCAGGTCACGTGTAGGTCACACACGTGCAGGTCACGTGTAGGTCACACGTGCAGGTCACGTGTAGGTCACACACACGTGCAGGTCACGTGCAGGTCACACACGTGCAGGTCACGTGTAGGTCACACACGTGCAGGTCACGTGTAGGTCACACACGTGCAGGTCACGTGTAGGTCACACACAGGTGCAGTGTAAAAAGCCACTTGCTAAACTTTGAAACTTCAAGACAAATTATAACTTGCCCTGTCTTTCCACTGTCACCCAAATCTTCACTCCATTACAGTGCAGTAAAGCAGGTTTTCCTTCAAAAGGATATTCATGCATTCCACAATACTCTCAAAATATGCATTGCATATTATGCATATTATGCAAGCTTGCTCATTCAAATATTCATCTCAAAATAGTTTCTAAAACACAATAAAATTCGATTCTGAGCCAACTATTTGGCTAAGAATTTCCAGTTTAAGAGCATGTTTTAAATTGTACGAGATCGATAAGGGAGACGTAATGCAGTCAGAAAAAATAACTCAGACGAAATGATGAACAATCCCCACAAACACAAGGATCATGATACACGAACACTGATACATCAGTTTTATAATCGCTCACGACATGCAGCACTCACATAGAAAGTTGACAAACTGAAAGAATAACGGTTTTTCTTTAGCGAGTTGCTGGTGGAACGCATGGACCTAGGGCTGCTAGGCCTGGGCCTCACCTCCTCAGTGGCCACCTTTAGATGTATGTTGTCTGATGATTGGGCTCGTCGGATTCTCAGAGAGTCCTTAAGTCTCTGTCAAAGTTTTGGGACGTTGAAGTAGGCGCGGGATAGTTGAATTTACCAAGTCATCATTGATAATGATTAATGATGTACGGTTCAATGAATTTGTTAATCTTGGTTATTAGTTATTTACATCAGAAGGGAAACTCAACTTACCATGCGCCTACTTAACGGTCAGTCAAGATGTTTTGGTCACTTAATGTCAGTCTTAATAATAATAACATCACAGACAAGCAGGATTAAAGGACAAAATCTCGAACATAAAACTTACCTCGGGTATGTTGTTCATGATAAGAATGGTGTTTTTCTCCGTTTTTTGTTCGCCCTCGGACGGATCAGAAGGTCGGCATATATGAGTGCCGCCCATAATCTCTGTTACCATTGCTGAAATAGGGTTAAAATTATGATTAAGTTATTTAAACGAGATACTTTCTGTTAAAATACGACTTAAACACTGAAATAATATTGCAATATTTGAACTTTTCAGTCTGTGCTTGAACTGATGACTTCTCGCACAGTTGCCACGTTTCATTATTTCATTATTCTATATTTGAGTGCGGCTCCAGTGCAAACTGCAACTGTATGCTAATCGCGTTAGTCGTTAAATAAATCTGATGATGATAAATCTGATGATGCTCTGGCCATATGCAAATATATGCTGCAGAGAAATTAATTGATTCCATTATAAGCTCTATTAGATCATACATTACAGACAGTATATGAGATTATTGCATGACTAACAAGGACTATTGCATGACTATAAGGACGGGGAGGCTAATGTCAAATTTAACATTAGCCTCTGTCTCGCAAGACGGAAATAGCTCATTTAATTAATCCCATTATAAGCTTTATTAGGTCGTCTAGCGACTAAAGACTACGAGCGGAGAGGCCAATGTCAAATTTGACGACTTGCAGCACGAAAAAATGGTTCATTTCTCCTAGGTCATTATTCAGTGTTATTCCTACGCACTGATTATAAAGAAGACAATCTCTTCTCCTCAATTCATTAATTCGTCTTAATTCTTTTCTTGAACTTACATCAAGATGCTTACAGCTGCTTTGTTTTTATCGCTGGTCTCCTTGACCATGGGAGGTGCCAAACTGAAAGCCCTCAAAGGAGAGATTGCAACATTACAGGATAATTACGCACAGGTATTGGACGATACAAATGGAAGTCTGGAAGAACTAGAAGCCTCTATCGCTGAGGTAGTTGGAATGCTTAACAGCATGAAAGCAGAACAAGCACAGAAGGATATCGACCTTGCCTGGCAAGCTCTCCATATGGCGGGTGCTGCTGCCTGCCGAGGAAGCGCCCCTCAAGGTGGAAAAGGTCCCTGGTCCAACTCTGTTATCCCCAAACGGAACGGAGCGAAATGTTCCGACCAATGCAAGCTAACCGACAGAACCGCCTGCAAGGCCGAGGTTTCAATTTCTGGCTTCACTGGAAAGGCAACATCCTACACTCAGAATGTAGGATACTTCTACAACTACGAATGTGATGGTGGCTGGAACGAAGATATCAACCATAACGAGGTCGCAGCTGAGGATGTTGATATCTTGAACAACGAGAAAACCGCCTACTACAGATTCTGCTGTTGTGCTAAAGTTTAAACCATAAGTAATAGGAATGGAACTCTGAAATTCTCCATTAATATTATCTTTTTGTCTTTATTGTAGTTAATGATATTATCTTATCGCAATGTACTGTAAAATAATGCTTACATTTTAATCAAAATTTGACCGCATTAAATCCTGTTATGGTTATTGTTTATTGTTAAATTAAAAGATAAAATCCTTAAACAACAAAAACAAAAACAAAAACCCCAATAAAATGGTTTGTTGGTTTGTAATACTCTCAAATTAAGTTAAAAAGTGGATTAAAATAAATAAAAATAAACAAAAGTGGAATTAGTTCTCTCGTGAGTCAGGAGATACACTCCCCAAGCTAGAAAGTCTGGAAATGCGCTCATAGCGGTCTCTTTGGACTGTAGATAGAGTTCATACTTTCAATGTAATGCATGTTTTCAAATATGCGGGTGTGGTGCGGAGTTAATAAGGATCAATTTCTATTGATTATTGTTTAAGATACTATTGGATACGTGAGGGCACTCCGAATAGAATTACTCACCTAATGCGGGTTTTGACTTAGCGGGTAAATACTCCTACCCTTTTTAACTGCGGCAGTGAAATCACAGTGAAAAAATTGTTCATTTCTCCTTGGTCATTATTCAGTGTTATTCCTACCACTATGGATGGTTTTGAGTGTAGACACGTGTTAGTCGGGTGGACTAGTTTTAGTATTTAGAGAGGTGTAATCACACCTCGTCTGAATGTTGGGATGTGAATAAATAAATAATATATTTATATATTAAATTCTTATATTTAGTACACGATTCGACATTAAAATAAACCCAACAAAGATGAATTATACATTAAAGTCATTCAAGCGAGGAAATAACAAGATTATGCTCTTATTTATCAGTTCAGAATTTATGGGAAAATTATATATTATACATTAAATCACGTAATTGAAGAGGAGTGCAATTTGGACTTTTCTAAAAATAAACAGCCTAATTTTCTAATTTATAGTTCCCAATTGAGATATGTATTAATGTGCAGTGCAGTGGTGGCAAATATGGTGGCAGTTCCACTTCTAGAAGGTTAATTTACAGCCCAGAAAGGTTGTTCCACTTCTAGAAGGTTAATTTACAGCCCAGAAAGGTTGTTCCACTTCTAGAAGGTTAATTTACAGCCCAAAAAGGTTGTTCCACTTCTTGAAGGTTAATTTACAGCCCAGAAAGTAAGTGAAGAAGGGAATCTCCTAAACATTATGCGAATTATTGACCTAAGCGGAGCAGCTGTAATAATTAAAAAAACAGCCTTATCAACCACCAGGGCTGCATTATGGAGATAAGATAATTATATTTTCACCGTTATTATATAAAATCTGATGAAATTTAGAAAAACTCGTTATAATCCGATGGTTTATCAAAGATTCCCCAATTATCCGATATTACATGTCAGTATTCATCAGAAGTTCAGGAACCTAGCGATTATAAAATTCAGATAACATTGCTGATAACTCTTTTATGCCGTGGGAGTAAATTAGCAGGAGACAGTTTGCCCCTTGTAGTCCAAATTTACATTACCTCATTGCTAGAATTCATTCCTTAAAACAAATTTTCCAAGAATTGTTCCAGTTTGTCCCTTCTTGCATGTTGTACGCTCTTTGAGAGTGAGACCAATTACTGTAAGAATATTTTTCAAAATTTGCAGGACTTTTCCTTTGACCCTTAATTAAACTGGCACAACAAAATCTTTCTGGATTTATCATTTCACATTGCTAGTTTTCAATTCTGGAAGCTAATTTCCTGAAATTTTTTTCGAGAGAATGCAATGGGTGACCGACAACTGAACCCAATTGAACCTAGTTCCCACGCAGTTAACAGGCACCCGATCAGCTTAATTGGGTGACCAGTCAGCTTAAATCCCAAAACGACAACTGAACCCAGTTGTCGTTTCAAAGTTAATTAGGTAGACTGATTGGGTTTACAATTATTTTCCCAAGCTACCCTGTCTAGAAAAAGTCCAAATTGGGTTCAGTTGTCCGGTAGCAATATGCATCCCCTTTTCGAACTACACTTATTTCGCAACAACTGCTTGCAGGCCCTAATATGCATTTAAAATCGTATTATTTTAATCGTTCTTGAAACTGTGTTTGAAAATGATCTCTATTGCCAAATTGCTCAGCTAGGCCTTTTACACGTTTTTCTGTTTTTGAAATTCAGGCTGTGGCCAAAAAAGTTCAAACTTTTGAATACAGCAATGCCGGGTATTATAATTCGTTCTAGGGCGTTACTTAGTTGTATATAAATATTATATTATACGATGATAGTGATTCACATTTCACGGCGCTCATTTTGGTCCATTTCATTTTTAGATACATTAAATATTTGATGCCATGATCTGAAGTGAATAATATACTCCTTGATAGCTTGACTTAGTCCTAGTCCATAATTTGGTGCAGTTAATCGGTAATAGTCCTTTTATTTAGAATCATGTTGTCGTTTGGATCAACATGATCTTTTCCCTGAACGTGGAAGTCCGCACCTAGTTGAGATTTTTTTGATTTTTTAGGGATTCGAGTTAAAATGTGACGAAAAATATGCATTTCAAGATTTTATAAATACATTTTAAAAAGAAATATTCGGCAAAAATCCGGCAAAATTTTTTGAAACCGGAGCCGGAACCAAATATTGAAGCAGGATATCCGCCTGGATACGGATTCAGCCGGATATCCGGTCGGTTCCTATTCCTACGCACTGATTATAAAGAAGACAATCTCTTCTCCTCAATTTATTAATTCATCTTAATTCTTTTCTTGAACATCAGGATGCTCACAGCTGCTTTTTTCTTATCACTGGTCTCCTTGACCATGGGAAGTGACCAGCTTAAAGCCCTCAAAGGAGAGATTGCAACATTGCAGGACAGTTTCGCAAAGGTAGCTGGAATGCTTAACAGCATGAAAGCAGAACAAGCACAGAAGGATATAGACCTTGCCTGGCAAGCTCTCCATATGGCGGGTGCTGCTGCCTGCCGAGGAAGCGCCCCTCTAGGAGGAAAAGGTCCCTGGAAAAACTCTGTTATCCCCAAACGAAACGGAGCGAAATGTTCCGACCAATGCAAGCTAACCGACAGAACCGCCTGCAAGGCCGAGGTTTCAATTTCTGGCTTCACTGGAAAGGCAACATCCTACACTCAGAATGTAGGATACTTCTACAACTACGAATGTGATGGTGGCTGGAACGAAGATATCAACCATAACGAGGTCGCAGCTGAGGATGTTGATATCTTGAACAACGAGAAAACCGCCTACTACAGATTCTGCTGTTGTGCTAAAGTTTAAACCATAAGTAATAGGAATGGAACTCTGAAATTCTCCATTAATATTATCTTTTTGTCTTTATTGTAGTAATGATATTATCTTATCGCAATGAACTGTAAAATAATGCTTACATTTTTATCACAATTTGACCGCATTAAATCCTGTTATGGTTATTGTTTCTTGTTAAACTAAAAGATAAAATGCTTAAACAACAAAAACCCCAATAAAATGGTTTGTTGGTTTGTAATACTCTCAAATTAAGTTAAAAAGTCGATTAAAATAAATAAAAATAAACAAAAGTGGAATTAGGTCTCTCATGAGTCAGGAGATACACTCCCCAAGCTAGAAAGTCTGGAAATGCGCATAGACTGTAGAGAGAGTTCATACTTTCTTACTTACTTTGTTACTTTGTAGGGTTTCATAGAATCCTCTATCGGGCCATCGAAAAAGTCGACCCCCCCGACGACAATATAATGCATGTTTTCAAATATGCGGGTGT